AATGCTTTCATTAATTCTTGCATTTGCAGATTTTGCATTGCTTTTGCAACAAGTGATATGATGCTAGCAAGAAAAAAGGTGGAGGGAAACTTAAAGAAATTGGGAAAATGACCTGCAAACTAGTCACCTGCTGTTATTAGAGAACAAAATTTCTGGGACAGAAATGAAAGGCGGCAACACTGAAAAGTCAAAACCATAAAGTCGTATTTTGAAGGAACAAAACTGAAGGCAGCAAAATATAAAACTACTGAAACACATTTGCATTTAAATGCAGAATGCTAAAGTGTAAAAATATCTATTTTGAATTTTAATTAAAGTTGTTCTTTATATCTAAAAGATTGTCTACGTAGAGAAGTGATATGTATTTAGGCTAGAATTTGCACTTCAGCTGAGAAAGTTATAGCAGAAGAGCTCCCTGCATCAATCCCTTCATTATCATCATTCAGTTTATCCTGAAGTACTCTTGAGGAGTATTTAAACTAAACTAGAAAAAGTCACCCTAATTTTGGAATTAAAATAACCACAATGGGACCTAATTTGCTATGCCAGTCTAACTATCCTGGTTAATTATAACAGTAAAACATGCTTAAAAAAAGTAACAAGCCCTACAGTAATATAACCCCCCTACACCCCATTAATGCCAGAGGCAATATTGTTGTCTCTCTCTGTTTATGGAGAGGACAGTAGTGTTCTGATAGATAGGCATGTTTTGTGCACCACACCAATAGCCATCCTTATAACTTGATGGGATATTAGAATTAAAGCCGATGTTTTTAATATCCTCCCGTTGCCTGACGCTATTTGGAAACTGCACGTTTGGAAAGGATGCCCATCTATCTCAGTTAATATGAGTCGGGGACTTCTTAATGTCATTGCTGATTTATTATTATTACTTTAAGACTAACATTGTGCTTGGCAATACAGAAAGCAAAAATTAAGACTCATTCTGCCATGAAGAATGCAGAGTGTAACAGGCAGATACAAAAGCACAGAGGAAGCAGTAAGTAGGACAAATAATCTTCTAAAAGGCACAACTTCTAGACTAATGTCTATTTTGGTGCCTGCTCTTCCACCTGCATGGAGATACCAAATTTGCTTACATACTTCAAAACTAAGCAAGCTTTCTGCTGCAGGCATATCCAAGCATGGCATTTAAACTGTGCTGTGCCACTGTGGATGCTATGACTAACATGGTAAGCAGCTGCTTTTCCACAGACAGAAACCAAGGCAGGGAAGAGTGAGAGGCCATGGCCGAGAAAGGAACTTTGAGCAGAACTCAGAAGTTTTGCTTAATCCAAGTCCTTTGTTTATACGGTAGTCTAAGGTTCGCTGCTAAAACAGTTCTAGAAAAATGGCCAATTTTCTCTTCTTCTAGAGGAAGTTCCATCTCCATGTGAGGAAGAACTTCTTTCCTGTGAGGATGACAGAGCCCTGGAACAGGCTGCCCAGAGAGGTTGTGGAGTCTCCTTCTCTGGAGATCTTCCAAACCCACTTGGACGCAGTCCTGTGCCACGTGCTCTGGGTGACCCTGTGTGTGCAGGGGGGTTGGACTAGATGATCTCTAGAGGTCCCTTCCAACCTCAACCATTCTGTGATTCTGTGAGGGGCTAGAAGGCAAGAAAGCGTCAACTTAAAACCCAGTTCCACCTCTGCGGGAAGATCATGGTGATCTGAGGAGCTTGGGTGAGGAGCCATGATGCTTGTATTCAGAAAAAGCGCTTCTTCACTGATTAACGGGCCATTAACTTAGAAAAAAAAAAACCTCCAAAACATTCAAAAACATTTTTTTCCCTCAAGATGGGGCTCTAGGTGTCCCTGCTGGAGCAGGGGGGTTGGACTAGATGATCTCTAGAGGTCCCTTCCAACCTCAACCATTCTGTGATTCTGTGAGGGGCTAGAAGGCAAGAAAGCATCAACTTAAAACCCAGTTCCACCTCTGCGGGAAGATCGTGGTGATCTGAGGAGCTTGGGTGAGGAGCCATGATGCTTGTATTCAGAAAAAGCGCTTCTTCACTGATTAACTGGCCATTAACTTAGAAAAAAAAATCCAAAACATTCAAAAACATTTTTTTTCCCTCAAGATGGACAAAGAAACCTACTTTCAGGTGAAAACCCTTCTGAGGCATTTCTATCTTGCCATACACGGACTAATATTTTCCAGATAATGTAGAAGTTAAAAGTTCACCTAAGATCCCTGAAGAGTAAGGGAAACATGTTTTCCACACGTTCACCTGCCCAGCTCCTTGCTTAGACGCAGACAGTGTCTACTGGTAACCTGGGGAAGGAAAGTGTCCCCAGGTGGCAGGACAGCCTGAACAGAATATTTTATTCTTTTCCCTTTGGCAATTTTGCCATTTTCATTTCCAATGTACTAAATAAAAAAGAGCAATAGGAAATTTTAAGCATGTGAAGAGTAATTGAAAATTTTAAGCATGTACAGGCAGAAGGCAAGCTTCTAGAGAGCCCAGGGTACAAGAGCACAGGGCTTAGGGCTCTTCACCTTTGCTTCTCCAGAGTTTTTTGAGCCAACTGCAGCACTGACATATTAGAGGTGTGACATGAATGAGTGATGGACCAGGCAGAAAGGGTGGACTTGTAGTTTTAGTACTTCAACTCTGCAACACCCTGCCACTCCATCCTGCCCCCAAAAGCTCTTACTGCTAGTGAAACAATTTTAGTATCTGTCTGCACTTGTCATCCTGGAACAACAGACATTACTGCAGGCAGATTAACTGCTTATGGCCATCCCACCAGATAAAGTAGCACACGACAGAGATTTCAACTGAAAAGCACAAATATAAGCATAAGATTGCTTCATCAATGCAGAACTCCACAAGGATCATTTAAAGGGTCTGGAAAAGATTTTGAAGTTGGATTATTTCTGTGCAATATGAATGTTTTCTGTCTGAAAATTGCTCAGTCATATGTGAGCTAGATGAGTGGGCAGTGGACTGAAAACTGGCTGCCCAGCGAGAGCTCTGAGGGTGGCGATGAATGGGGCCAAGTCTAGTTGGAGGCCTGTGGCCAGTGGTGTCCCGCAGGGGTCAGTACTGGGCTGGGTGCTGTTCAGCTTGTTCATCAATGACTGGACGAGGGCCCAGAGTGCACCCTCAGCAAGTTTGTGGACGAATCCAAACTGGGAGAAGGGGCCGACACTCCCAAGGGCTGCGCTGCCATTCAGAGGGACCTAGACAGGATGAAGAGCTGGGCAGAGAGGAACCTCATGAGGTTCAACAAGGACAAGTGCAGGGTCCTGCAGCTGGCACCAGGACAGATTAGGGCTTGACCTGCTGGAAAGCAGCTCTGCAGAGAGGGATTTGGGAGTCCTGGTTGACAACAAGTTAACCATGAGGCAGCAATGTGCCCTCAAGGCCAAGAAGGCCAATGGGATCCTGGCCTGCATCAGGAGGAGGGTTGCCAGCAGGTTGAGGGAGGGGATCCTCCCCTCTGCTCAGCTCCGATGAGACCGCACCTGCAGTACTGGTTCCCCAGTACAATAGGGACGTGGAGCTTCTAGAGAGGGTCCAGTGAAAGGCCACGAAGATGACTGAGGGACTGGAGCCTTTGTCTTATGAGGACAGACTAAGCGGAGAAGAGAAGATTGAGAGGAGATCTGATCAACATGTTCAAGTACCTGAGGGATGAATGTAGGGAGGATGGGGCCAAACTCTTCTCGGTCGTGGCAGGACAAGGGCTAATGGGTACAAGTTGAAACACAGGAAGTTCCATCTCCATTTGAGGAAGCACTTCTTTCCTTTGAGGGTGACAGAGCCCTGGAACAGGCTGCCCACAGAGGTTGGGAGTCTCCTTCTCTGGACATCTTCCAAACCTGCCTGGATGCCACCCTGTGTCACGTGCTCTAGGTGTCCCTGCTGGAGCAGGAGGGGTTGGACTAGATGATCTCTAGAGGCCCCTTCCAACCTCAACTATTCTGTGATTCTGCGATATTCTGGGAAACCAAAACTGTCACAGAAACTGAGCAGAATAAACAAACTGATTTGGAAAATATATTTTATTCATAAAATGACTAAACACTGATGCACAGACAAAATATCTTGGACCTGATGCACAGACAAAATATCTTGGACCTAGATAATCTAGACCATGAATACAAAACTCAGAATATTTTTTTCTTCCTTGAATACTTTAAAATAAAAACGGAAAAAAAGATGCCCATGATAGCTGCTGAGAGGCCTCAGCCATTTGTCTCGATACCAAATAACTCATAGAAGGTGTTGAAAACTTGGCAAGATCAGTTCCTGCATTCTAATGATTTCACCATCCAGTAGAAGTCATTTTAAGTTTCCATGAAATTCACAAATCTTGGAAGAATTTCTCTACCAAGAATAATCTCCTCAAAATTAGTTCCTTACATGTATCTGCCTTCCCACAAGGTAGTGTCTTTTGGTTTTAAGAAACGAAAGATGGACTTTGAAAAAGGTAGACTACTTAAACAGGTGCTTGCTCTCTCCCCCACACCTTTTGGAGATCTTTTCCTATACATTTAATTTTAAAGACACGTGAATTGCCCCATGATTGCCTGACACAGGTCAGATAAACTAATCCAGTCCCTGACTGCCATGTGTTACTATCAGACACTTACAGGAAAACACAGACAGCCTTGGTAAATATTTCTCATCTCTCTCTCACAAGAAAGGAGAGAGACCTTAATGTGGAAACAAGATACTTCATAAATACATACTTTTAACAAAATAAAAGATTGTCTTTTATTGTCTCTAATTTTACCAGATCAAAAAAGTAAAGAGCTTACTTGAGTATTCACAATATAAAATACTTCAAGAACATTTCTCTGTTGCCATTTGTAGGACATATGATTATCTACCACTGTCCCATAAAAGCAGTACATAGATAATTCTATGCATTAGTTTGGCAATAAAGACATCGTAGTAACAGTTATCCCAATTTTCTAAGATTTTAAATAAGAGTATCATTCTAATACTCTCAGAATTACATCTAGGAATATAGTCACTGTATTGGATTTTATGATTTTGAAAAACATCCAGACATGAAGAATACTCCCTGCATCCCCAAATTTTGTTTTGTAATGCCAGCCGATTCTTTTCTAGAAAGCACACCACTGGAAGGCAGCTATACTATTTTTGCTGAAGACGAATTTTAGAATAGTTTTCAACATATGTATCTGGATTCTTCACATCTTCAAAAAGGCAACCTGCAAAAGAAAGCAAAAAGAAAACTGTAGTTAGTCTCAGCAACGCAGAGAAAACAGAGACATTTAATTAAATTCACTGAAAGTATATGTTAGAAACGTTTCATTTAAAGAAAAAATAGATTAAGATAACATTGTTCACTACTGTGCTGAGAGAGTAGACCCTATATTTGAAAGTAACATTACTTTCCTACCGATTGTCTACCTAATAAATATCACCTAAAAGTTCCTAAAGGCCCTCTTTTTGATCATGCATTGCACTTATTGCTAAGTTCAGTCAAGAGGAGAAGTTTTCACGTTTTAAACAAAAGGATTACAAAGCCTCAGGTTTGTACTCCTTCATAAGAAACTTAAGCACCCACATTTTTCTGCTTACACGTCAAAACCTTTTTTTCTCTCTCAGAATAACAAAGCACAAGGTGTTCATCTTGCTTATCTTAAAAGGCTATCTGACAGTATTCTGAAAGTAGCTTAGATTAAATCTCCAATCCATTGCCCAAAGCATTAGCTTGTTTGAACAATGCTGCTGCTAGTTGCTACAAGTGAAATCCTCGTTCTAAAGTCATGGAAAAAATGCCTTTGATTTTGAAGTGACCAGGAACCAATTCCAAACTTTTATCTCCACATAGGAAAAAATCCTACCCAAAGCAAGCATGGGGGAGAGGACATGAACAATTGTCCGTGATTAAGACAACAGCAAATGACATCTGTAGTGCATAAAGTGGACTTTCAGGATTAACAGTTATTTGGATAAAAGGCAACCTACCAAATATAAAAAGCCTAATGATTTCTAGTTGTTCTCCATTACAAGCATGCAGCAGCTTCCCTTCCATGTTTTGTATTCACTTAGCCTTCTTCAGAACTGACAGTGACCTAATTCAGAGAGTTAAGACAGAGGACGGACAGACCTATAACCCTTACTCTCCATGCACTCATATTGCTAAATGGCAAAGTCACATTCCCTAGGTTACACATCTTGTAACTGTGCACCAGGTTCAACACCACCAGTCTAGTAAGAGACAGGCAGAACGGTCACGCTCTTTCAGCAAAGTTCACAATGCCAGTGGCACACTGTGAAAGAAAACTAAAGTCCAAATAGCTACCAGGTCTACAAACAAAGGCTTATGGCTAAATTCACTACAAATGTCAGTCGCCTAATCAGTCAATGCAAGGATTTCTTTTTTTATTGCCTTTAGCTCAGCACGCTGTCCCCTTTATGATAGCTAATACTAACGCACTGTTAAGAATTGTGTTTTGCACCCTGCCACACTTACTTCTATGACAGGAGACCTTGCATTTCATTTTCCCTCGCTCATTTCTGAAGATGATAATCACATTCTGTCTCAGAGTAACAAGTGCACCTCAGCACTCCCTCTCGCTAGTTTTCACAAGGGCAGAAGCTGCTAAGAGCTTTGGAGAAGGAATGAACACAAACTCTATATTTTGAAGCTTTCCAAAGAGGTATACTGTGCTATACATAGCACAGCCCAGCACCAGAGACGTATAATGACACAGCTTACGAATTCGCTTTTTTTTTTTTTTTTTCTGTAAATGATAAAATAGCAACAACGGCATTACAAACTACCAGAAATAGAGCAAGGCAAAAAAATGCAGGTTTTGTTCAACCCTAGAATCAGTTCCAAGATCTGTGTTCTTTTAGATTTCCCAGGAGAAGGCGGAAATGCAAAACATTAAACCATTAGCTATACTCCAGACTCCAAGGGAATGATATTGAAAATTAGAAAAAGCATTTAGAGAGAGAGAGCATTTATGTCTATGCCACACGCCAGACCTCTGCAGTTCCATCTCCACGTGAGGAAGAACTTTCCTGTGAGGGTGACAGAGCCCTGGAACAGGCTGCCCAGAGAGGCTGTGGAGTCTCCTTCTCTGGAGATCTTCCAAACCCGCCTGGATGCCACCCTGTGCCACGTGCTCTAGGTGACCCTGCTGGAGCAGGGGGATTGGACTAGATGATCTCTAGATGTTCCCTCCAACACCAAGCATTCTGGGATTCTGAGTGATTCTGTGACTGGCGTTCCCATCATCCTGGGCCATCTGTTACTGCTGCATGTTCATCTCTGATAAGCTGTGTCCTTCTCTTTCTCTCTCTCTCTCTCTATATATATGTATGTATGTGTGTGTGTGCGCACGCTTACATATACATTCATACATACATATATTTCTCCAAGTACTTTCAAATGTGCTTCATCCACTGAAATGGCAGAGCACCCCAAAAAAATGCAGGAGAAGTGCTTCTTGACCAATTTTTCCAACTGCTCCACATTGAATAAATTGTTGAAGCCTTTTTGTTTGTTTCAGGTATTGCAGATACCATGGCAATTAGTGGCCATCCAATACTGAGCAGAAAAGAAATGGGCTCAAGGCAGATATTAACAATACATAGAAATATCTGATTAGGGGAAGTAAAGAAAATGGAGGTTCTTCTGAGTGATGCCCAGTAACATTTAGAGATAAAACTTCTTTACTGTGAGGGGGGTCAAACCCTGGGGGCAGGTTGCTCGGAGAGGCTGACCCTGCTCTAGCTGACCCTGCTCTGAAGGAGGTGGTTAGGCCAGATGATCTCCAGAGGTCCCTTCCAACCACTGTGATTCTGGGGGTCTGTAACAGTTTGAAAAAAAAATAGTAAAAAAATAAAATTAAAAAAGTACACAGCAGCAGCACGCCAGTGCAGCTCTTTCACTATAAGCTCTCAAAACAGAGGCTGCAATACTCCTTCCTAGGTAGCAAGACAGTAGTGAAAAAGTGATAGGTTCAGCCTTTTGAAACTTTCTAATAACATTTTTTTAAGAATGTTTCATCCAGCAGCATCTCAAAGTAGTGTCTCGATAAAACTCTCACAGAAAGCAGGGTAAAAGCTTTTCATAGCGAGTTAAGCATCCAGTCGCAGAGTCAGAAAACACTGAGGAGTAAAAGGTGAAAGAAACAAGTTTAATTTTAGAAAATATTTGAAAAACAATGGAGATCTGATTAACTATGGAGATAAAAGAAGACTGTTCCAGATGGCAGAAGGTGCACGTGTCTACCCAAAATGGTAACAGTGTGAATGGACCAATGTAAAGTAAGAAGAGGCAAGAACCATCCGAATGATGTATTTTAAAGAAATACAATCTGCAAGTCTAGTGCACACAATCTTCTTTGTGGAGCTGACAATAGGCAGAGGAAACACAGTGCTAGGAGAAAATTATTTTCTCAGCTATGAGAAGGAAAAAAGTTCAATCGTTCAATCGGCTACAAAAAATAGAGAAGCCAGATTCTTATTTCATCAAAGCAGAAAAACAACCCATATGTCAAAAGACCTGCTCTAACGCAAACATTTAAATTGTTTTTACCTTTATATTCTCTTAAACAGGAGGCCAAAAATGCACAAATAAAGATCCCTCTGTGTGTGTCTCAAAGCTGAGGATGCACCATCTCTAATATATATGCTTCTCCTAGTAGCTAAACACACATAGGTGGAAGATATACAACAGTACTGAGTGTTATAGGGGGAATTACACTTCTATTTACTCCTGCATAATTATGGAGAAAATAGTGAGTTAAAAGTAGTTATATACACTTCAGTTTCAGCAGAAACTAATAAATCTGTTAAACCTATGAACACTTCCTGAAATACAACTGCTCTGGTTTTGCTTTTCTGTTGAAGAAGAACAAAAGGCTCAAAGAAGTTGTTCAAAGTTGAATAACAACAAAACTCTGCCACCAGGCTCAAAAATGAGGATTAAATATGTAAAATAAATTATACAGTCTTTTTGTTCTTCGAACATTAGACCATTTTTTTAAACACTATCACACACAGTTTGTAACACTACATGGTACGCAGCTTATAACACCTCGTAGTGGGACACATGCTTTAAAATAGCTGTGTAAGTCACCTAGAGCAAGCATATTTAGAGCAATGTATGTGAATACAAATAGATACCTCTGCTTCAATCCTGCACAGGTGCAAGTGTGAAACCAAGCATGCTGGAGTCACCCTGCAGAGGAAACACTGATTAAACACCTGTGAGGCCACAGTGTTATCAGTGTCAAATGTGATATTCATTAGCTCTCATAACTGACAGGTCATCAAGTGCTGCCAGGCAGTGCACAGAGGAGAACAAACTCTCCAAGCCTCAGACCAAAGTCTGAGATACACAGATTTGCAGTGCCACAAATACTATGGCTAAGGCTAAGAGTTATGGTTATACTCTTAATAGCTACAGCTAATACAACAGTTTGGGTGCTTGTAATTACACTGCCATCCAGATGCTGTATACGTATGCATATAGATACACCCATACCCTGAAATAAGAATTAGATAGAGTGATATAATCAAAGTTTGTGAGACTACATGGAAAAAAATGCATTTAATACCACACTGGCACAACTACAGCAACACATATACAGACATGTAGACTTGTAAACCTTAATCCAGCCTGATACATCTTACATAGCTGTAAAATAAAGATTGATCAAGAAGCCAGAGGATGAAACCAGGTACACCATGTCAAGGCCAACAGCTCTATAAATACCCTTTTTCTGATGAACTCTGCTCAAACTTTGGTGTTCCTGTGGCTGCATAACCACGAGAAGCAACTAGGTCTCACTGCTGCTTTTATTTGTGGATTGGCAACTTCTGGCCATGATGGCCAGGACTTGAAGCCCTGCTGCCTACCCACACTGTACGGTTAATGCACCAGCTTTCACCCAGAGGTCAGGGACCACATTCACCCACAGGAGATGCACAAGGTCCAGAAAAGATGCTTTGGCAGGAGTGTGAATGAATAGTCACAAACCAGATTGTGTTAGGTGAGCAGAGAGTTGAAGGAACATTAACTGCTATATTTGTGCTTGCTCCTACTGAATCCCTAGACCCATAAAAAGCAGCTGTCTGCCAGACTGAACGCTACCAAGCAGTTATTTACTGTCATTATGCCTCTGAAACTGTTCCTAGGGAGCAAAAAGTTAGTTGTAGATTCAAAGTTGAGGAAAAGAGGGCACAT